AATTTTTTTAAGAATCACGTAGTGGATATTGCAGGAAAATGAAAGAAGATTTTTTATTGGACTGCGTAATGTAAGAAAATAAAACGATTCGTTTTCAGTTATTTTATTTAGAATGAAAAAAAGACAGCTTGGAATTTATTTTTATGAAAAAGAAGGCATTTATTTCGTTCGAACTGAAATGCAAAGTACAAATGGTATAGATAATATAGTGATAATAATGTAATAATTAATCGTTAATAAATATCAATTCAATTAATAATACGGAGTGTACCAGTATATTGTGGAATATCATATATACGGTAAATTGTACTACACGGGATGTGTTCAGTGGCAGCGTTACAATCATCTCGTCACCGAAGTGTATTAACCGAAGAATATTATATTACAATGATTCTCCATTACCGCCGACCGACGACAATCCGTCGGCTCCTCGAATGTGCTTCCCTTCCATTCTTTTCTCATCCTCGCGCCACACTGATTCCTCGTCTTTTTTTTTTTTTAAAACTATCGATATTTTCGTGGGGAGCGCTGACAGAGATAATACAGAAAAAGCACGTGCTCGACGTTCAGAAATATTCAAGTTGAATGAAAATCGCAGCGCTAATTGAACCCTTCAAAGATCATTATCAAGTGTAACGATTGTTTAACGCGAAACCAAATGAATATATGTGAAAAAATTTTAACCAGAAACTTAGATGAAATTCGAAATAGAAATATTAATTAATAATTGCCTCTCCATTATCATATTAATTAATTAATAACTAGGCTCTAATGTTCTAAGGCTTTGACTAGAATCAGTTTCCAGGTAACCGCGAGTGAACAGAAAGGAGAGCGAAACCAACCGAATATTTCTATCGGCACGAGCAACGTTCGTCGTTCATTTTTCGATGTACAGAGGCGTGTCTCGCTCGCTAATCGATCGCAATTAATAAATCCCGGTGTTGTTCGTTGAAAAGCGTTTGGATGGCGACAAACGAACAAAGAGAGAGAGCTGGAGTTCCGAAACTCGGGAGGGAAAAGCTCTCCGTCGTCCCGGAGGATCCGATCAAGCCGGACTAGTGCCGTTGTAAATTGAACGTTTCTCTGTTTGTTTTTTATGAGTCGCTCCGTTCGAATCGCGAATTATGTCGGGGACCGAGGCACGAGCTGCCTCCGTTTCTTTGTGCACGATTAGGCAGTGCTTGGAAAAAGTTTTACAGATATGTAGGATGAGCTCGCGTGGTCGCCGTTTTCCTCGTCTCGCAGGGCTCCACGTTTTTCGTCTCTATCTCTCCTCAGATAAATTACAGATACGCCACGACCCGGCGGAGAAGCCCGGCGGTCTGAACGTTGTGAGATCTTTTCAAGTGATAAGTACGCTTACCTCTTTCTTTTTCACGTTTTTATAGTTTTATTCGCTTTTTTTTTTTGTTCGCTTTATACGCTTTTCGATATTTTTATTTTCGCGTGCCAACTCGTTCTCGGTAAAAAAGTTGAGCTGCGTGCGCTTCGAAAGGTACCTTAACTTATTGTTAATGTCGATCGCTCGACGTTGATTGTTGTTGTTCGTCTCCTTGTAAACAAATCGATACTGCGATGCTGTTTTCGGGATTCGTGAATTTCTTCGTGTACGAACAAGAAAAAAGATGATCCTGAGAATGCCTGGTAAATCAGTGGCGTCTCATCGAAGTCGCTGTTTGAATTCTTGTCTCGTGCAAAACGCTGTTTCAATGAAACCAAGTTCGCATCGTTGGTAAAAAAATTATCTAAAACTCTACGATCGGTGTTACAGACAGTTCATGCATGACGTTCCATTAAACTATAAATGCCACAGGTATTGCACTGTAATTACTATACGCACGTAAATAAACATTAAATATTCACAATTATTCTACAGAATGTACAGGTTCCGCATTTCTAGAATCATTTACTCACTGTCGCTCGGTTTGGACATTTACAACGTATTCAGAAACCATTTATTGCTATCGTCTAGTAAAACCGGAGAACTGATCGCAATTTATAAATACAAGTAGAGGGAAATGAAGTCGAAGATTTGCAAGTTCGTCAGACGAGAGTATCTCACAGTTATTACGGGTAATTAACTGTTGGTAGATTCGTTCGTTAAAAGAAACGTCTCCTACGATCCTAGTCCTTAAAAATAGAGATTGTTTTCGACCAACCACGAGAACGGTCTTCCGGAATGAGAATAAAGGAACGCTTTTCGTCGTAACGATTTTTCTCCTTCTCGCACTCGTCTCTTTTCGACTCTTCCAGGTTGTTTCATACCTCGCAAAAAACGGTAGGTAAGTATGCTTCGTCAGTGGCAAACGAAATCGCAAGGTAGACGCTTTAAGAAAATCCGACGTTTGCATTTTCGTGTCATCGGTAATTAAATTGCATACAGATTTTCACGTCGTGGCGCAGATCGTTTCTTGACTATTCGTGTTCGACCGCGCCGTTTCACTTTGGTATCGTGCAAGTCCTCCGAGGTGCCCGAGCGGACTGAATGGACAGATGATTTTATTCGAGTTGCCGACTCGCGTCAAAGGTTGCTTATCGAAAATACGAAATCTTGGAAGTTGATTTACTAACGTCTAGACTTTTCCAAATGATTAATCAATTACTTTTAGTACAATTTATCTACTTCACAAATTGATTCTGTTAATCTTGATATTACAATTGTAACCCTCCAACCAATCTAATTTACTTTCTCGATGGTGAATCAATTATTTAAACAAGATTATTTGTTAGTCTCGGTTTGTATAGCCAAAATCTAAGTGACCAAGATTCAATTTTCAGTTGCGATCATCGTTTTTCCTTTCTTTTTTGCCACTGTACACACACATGCACGCTGTCGCGTGCCGTTCAACTCAGTTACTCAACGATAAACCGTTCGTCCTCCTGATAACGCCAGTTCGTCGAATACTGTCTCTGCTTAGAAACTACTTGGCGGGGTGAAGTCGACGATGGAAATGGCCGGAGAAACGAAAGGGTGTGTACGTACTATGAAGGAGGACGGTGAGACAATGAAACGACGATAATTGAACATTGCGAACCTATCAACATCGAGGTACGTATATTAAAAAGAAATAAGCTTCACGTAGAAGTTGAATAAAAGGTTTCTTCAAAAATTATTGATACATTGAAAAATCTATGATGGAAGCATCCGAGTTGAGAAAGTCGTAATAGTCATTTACTATTAACATGTAACAAGAATTAACAATCGTTTATCAGTATCCTGTAAACTATGAAATGTATGGAGTTCTTAAGACACGTTCTAGTATAATGAAATTATTAATATATTTGAATGTCTGTGTGTTCCTGGATGTTCTCAAGGCTCGCGAGGAACGGACGTAGAAAGTAAGGAGAAAAACAAGTGGTGACGGGAAACGGAAATATCACAAATGTCGCCTGGGAAACGATACGGTACGCAAGACGACGAATCTTGGTAGGACAATTATGTGTACAGAGAGAATGCTCGGTACTGGTCGCGGCGCATTACGAACGGCACCGGGCACACCGTGATACACGACGTTACTTACAATATTCGTACAAGTGCTTAAACGCTACCGGTGCCCGGAACGATTGTTCGATCCAACGACGGGGCTTCACCTAACCGATAAATTGACTATTAATATTTCCGTAGAGAATTTTACAAATCAGTCGAGACACACGCGACGTAGAGATGATGCGCTGAGCTGACGCTGAGCTTCGTGAATAGTAGTCACGGCGCAAGCGACGTCTCGTTGACTTTCGAACTCACTCGAGGTATAAGTGACTCTCTCTTACAAAAGACCAAATTTCTATTAAAACGATGTTGCATAAAAACGTTGCTTGTCATAATTCAACAATGAAAAAATAATTGGTCATTCAGGAAGTTCAAATTAATTTTGATAATAAAGTCAATTGAATAATTTATCACTAAATTTGAATCCAATTAATAATTGTTAATTATGGAGATCGGAAATTCTCTGTTCTCAGACTGACTTGTTACTCGCAACGAAATCGTCGCCTACGCAGAGAGGAGCATATACCTCGCGCCGTTTCCTTCTCGCCGATTCTTTTCTCTTCTATTTCCTCCCCATCCTTTTTTTAACCATTTTTCACTCGTTTTACTTCATTTTTTTTTTTAAATTCTTTTCTTGCATGCTTTTTTTCCAACGAACTGGAATTCACCGGCCGGTTCGACAATCGGAAAATAAATATTAATACTAACGTGGAGACACGAATTATACCTTCTCTCAACTAACCGGCCATCGTGCTATACTTATACTATTCTGTCTCTGTTCCATCTTCCTGCCTTTATTCTTTCCCTTTCACTCGTGTCCTCGTCTGTATGCGATTCCTTCATTTATATATAATATATATATATATGTATATATATTTATATATATTCATATTTATATCGCTATATAATAATAATTATAATTACATACGCGCGCAATAACTATCGTTTGTTCACGCGGACTTCCGTGCGTTCAATACGTTTTGTGTATATATCTTCGTCTTCACGTTGCGCTTCATTTTTTCCTCTCTCTCTCTCTCTCTCTATATATATATATATATATTTATATTCATTCATTTATTTATTTATAAATCCATATTTATAATATATATATATATTTATTATTTATTGTAATATCAATAATAATACTATCAATAATTAATGAGGATGCTGGTGATGTGAGTGATTCTGACGATGACAACGATGAAGATGGTTCACGACTCGACGAACAACTAAATTGTCTCACTCACCCGTTCCGACAAACCGTAACTCTTGTCTTAATACGACAGACCACCAATTAGTTAGGATCGTCCCCATCAAGTCTTCATTTTCCCGTTACACTGAAACAACGTCGATATTACGAGTCCTCGTGGTGCGTTGACACGGGGACCGGCCTTCGTAGCCGATGCGCGTTTACGGTAATCAACAGAACTGAATCGCGCCGGTCGAACGTTCGAAACGCTGATAGTCCGAGACATGCGAACGTCGGGGATTAATAGACGGATAAAATGAGAAATGCCCTTAAAATTACGCGGCACGGGGAACGCGCCTAGATCATCAGACGGTCCGCGATGTGCGTTAAAAAACGTTGCGTGTGTGAACGACTGGAGAACGGAAACGACGGTGAACGCGCACGGCTGGCAGTAATATTTAGATAACATGAGCAGTGTTCACGAATACAATACGGATTCCGGTGGGACCGACGCTGTCACACGCCGACGTCGGTGCGATCGAACCCGATCGAATACCGATCAATAAATAGTAACTATATGACTGTGACTAAAAATAATGAGTCGCGCATGTATATATATATATATAATATTTATATATATAGATTTATCTCGTTAATAGAAAAGTCTCGCGCGCGGGCTGAGGCACGCGCGAATTCACTACGTATACGCGTAACGTGCTATACAGATTAGGTATTACGACCCTTGACGAGGGGTTGCGCGCCACCTACGATGCGTCGTAACGCGACTTGGCCTACGTTTCATGACGCAACAGAGACGCTCCTTCCGTTTTATTGCGACGATCTTCGCTCGTTTCTTATTTGAACGTTGCATAAAATGCGATCTCCTTTTAAAGGGACCGGCGAGCGGTTGCGTTTTGCAGTTGTCAGCCAGGGGATGAGCTTCGCCTCTCTTTCCCGTAATCGCGCACACCGCACGGACGTTGTGTCCTTCTTCTCGCGTGCGCGCATCGTGGAAGTTGCTTACGCGTTGCACGCGCGCGGAGAACGTGCTCGATCGACTAAGAAAACCTCGAAATTGTCCGTTTGTTGGTTGCGGAACGTAAAACGACACTTTGGTTACTGTTTCTTCGGTGTAGCAGTCGTGCTCTCTTGTTTACCCGTTTTATAGAAAGTTTGTTCGAGTTGCACGTGTTTCCCAGAAGACAATCCGTTCTCATTCTTATTTTTGTTTTAAGCTCACGCGAACACTAACAGGTTGCACGAATCGTACGAGCTTATCGGTTTCAAGGACTCTTTGCGGCTCCTTTTAGTCTTCCTCTTCACTTTCTTCCGCCGGTCCGTACATATCGGCTAGCTTGTCGAATCTCGGACCCCACGCGCCTAAGTACTCGTACTCGTGCTGCTCGTCGTCTGTTCCTGATTTTAAAACAATTCATCATATAATTTTCTTGACGAAATTAAAAAGGCATGCTACGAATTTTAAGCGAACTGGTTAATTAAAATAAATATATTAACCGGAAGCTAAGGAGGACAACGAGCCTGCGATGCTTCCGCCACCCTCGTACGCGTAATTTCGTAGATCGTCGAACGGCGGTGCGTTCGGATCACTGTCAGCCCTCTTTTTATGATCTTCTATGAAGATGCCCACATTCGGTTCCGGACCCAGCGTATCTGGAACGCATTCGTAATCGGGCGATCATAAATTTCACCGTTTACAAAAATCGAGTTACAGTATCGAGACGAATTAAGGAAAGATGACTTACAGGGTACTTTACATGGTGGTAACTTCCCACCCATTTCTGGTATCGGACCACCGATAGGAATTTGAAGCGGGGTAATATCGAACGCGGTCATGTCATCTTCTCCGCCGCCCTCGTCGTCGTAATTAATAATATTCTCCCTTACATCGTCGTCGGGGCCAGGATACTTAATATGCGACTCCCTTCTTCTATTGTAGACAACAAATACTAGGACAAGAACTGCAACGTAAAAAATTACAATTTTTCTGTTAAATATCTGTACATATTCTATCTCATTGATTTTCGTTTGTCTAAATATAAGTATTTACCAAGAATAATCAAAAGGCAGACTAAAATAGCTGCCAGGGCTCCCATGCTAAGTTTCAATGTCTGCCCCTCTTGAACGAGCTCACAGTTCTCTCCCCAGAAACCGTCGGGGCAAATGCATCTGTACCGGAGGCGAGGATCCTGATTGATGCATCTACCGCCGTTCAGGCAAGGATAGTCTATGCATTCGTTCTTATCCATGCATCCCTTGCTGTCGTGCGTTGGGATCTTTCCTTCTCCGCATCTAAGGATACAAGCAAAATAGAATTATATTCCTATAATTTATTTCTATACATTCTTATGATAAGAATTGCATAAATATGTATATCCATCTGCTCTGATTAAAGCATTCAAAATATTTGATACTTACGTGCAGTCGTATTGGTTCCATAGATCGATGCACTCGAATGGCTCTGGACAAATCACGTTGGCACATGGCTTATTCGAGGGACAATTCTTCTCCACATTTCTTGCCATAGTTGCCTGTCCCCATTGTGTTCCATTCATAGCTGGTGGTAGTGGAAGATGTTTTCCTTCGAGCCTTATGTCATCGAGACATCCTTTTTAAACGAAAGATTATAAACACGTTTTAGTTCTCTAGTCTTTATTTTTAAATTAACTTCATAGTTATTTATTTATGAAAATGAATATCAAGCTTCGACATATGTTAATCATAATAAATCGTACCTTTCTCGTAATCTGCGTAAACTTCGAACGTACGAACTCCAGTGTACTCGGCCTTACCACCAGCGAAGACACCCTCCTGCTTATCGACCAGCAACCATTGGTGTCCTTGGAACGAGAAGGTTTCGTTGAATCTTCTTCCTTCGCCACCGTCCAGTTCCAAGGTCGCAGCTGATCCATATCTCGACACTCTGACCGTGTGCCATTGTCCATCGTCGACGGATATCGCCGTCAGCCATATGTCGCGTTCCTCGGTCCTCAAGCTGTTCAAATTGTACCGGAAATGCAGTTTGCTGTCCTTGATCTGGAAATCAAGCAGTCGTAATTTCATCAGTTTAAGTATAACATATTTTAAAAAAGTGTCGTGTAGCATAAATAAATACTCACCTCCAGGATGGCGTATTCTCTGTTGTGCTGATCGCTGACTCTGAACAATTCGCCGTGCCTCTCCCGCGTGCGGAATCTCAATTGTACTTGGGTGGAGTATCTGTCCGGGTCGAAAGACAACGCGTATTTTACGTAACTCTGCGGCCTGAACGTGCTCGGTATAGTGGGCGTCATGCATCCGGGACCGGTCCAGCCCGGGTTGCATTGGCACCTGGCCTCGGTGAAGCTTCCTACGCAGGCGCCGTGTTCCCAGCAGCGGAAGGTCGATTCCTGGTTGTTGCAAATTTCCTCGGTCTGCGGGCAGCCGGCCACGCTGTTCCTCGACAGTCCCGGATGAGCCAGATCATAAAGCTTGCTGTTGTGGAATAGATTCTTGATGCAACCATCGAAACCCTTGCCAACTGGCATGTGCTTCCATTTGTAGTGAGCCGGGTCGAACTGCTCGACGTATAAACCCCCGATCTGGAGAGGCGCGTTCACGTTCAGATACTCGTTGAACGGTGGTATGGTGCCCTGAGCTTGGCAACTCGTGTCGTTGAAGTCTGGAGGCGTGCCGTCTTCCGGTTCAGAGATGTCCGCCGATTTACAATAGTCGATGATCAGTTTCACGGTCTGTGGAAGAAAATTGTGGTTGCATCAAGTACAATGTTAAATCACATAATTTAAAAATATAATTTTCTCAAGAACACGTAAATATGAGAGAGTGTAAAATAATTCTGACCTCCGTGTTCCAAAAGATGTCCAATCTGTGCCATTCTCCGTCGTCCAGAGTTCTCTTCGGTTTTACTTTCAGCTCCAAAGTGCCAGAACCAAAGTCTATTAGCAATCGAGGTATTCCACGTTCCAATTCAACGGATATAAAGTCTGTAAACGTAATTACATCGTACACAAGATTACTCACAACCCAATTGTAATTATTTGTTACATTCACTCTATGAGTAATTATGTACTTACCAGAAACCATAATTTCGTCAGCTTCGGGAGGAACGATAGGACCGTTGTATAAAAGTAAGCCGTCGGGTTTCTTGGTAATAAATTCGAAGCTCAAATGGCTGTTGTCACACATTTCCAAAGCGGGATACCAAGCCCACCCATTACCACGGAAACTCCTGGCCGTCTGTTGACACCTCGGCCCGTTATAACCAGCTGGACACTGGCACCTGCAAATGAAGAAGAAATTGTTTAAACAATCTTTCACGATTTTCCACAATGGTGATGCTTACGATAATCCAAACCGCCCCTCGACGCAACGTCCGCCATTGTAACAAGGGCTGCTCCTACACGATTCTCCTTTACTGAAGTTCCGCGCTCCGCAAGTACACTCAGCGATTACGTCGACTCGCACGCCAACCAGAGCAGTTTTGTTTGCATTCACCATGTACGGTAAACTGCTTATATCCAAAGTGTTCGTGCAACTGCCCTCGCACACTTCGTTCTCGTAATAACACTCATCGATGCCGACCATTGTTATGTTAATACCGACTTCTTTCTCAATCTAGTCGAAATACAATTTGATGCGTACAACGAAATCGTTCTAGCTTGAAAGCTGTTTAAAGTCCTCTTACCTCCTCGCGATGCATCAGCACGATTCCGTTCAACCTGACTGGTTTGTAATACGTCGACCCGTGAGCCGCGAATCTAACGTCCGTCAGTGGGGGATGCATTCTACGCAATTGTACGCTGAACACGTCTACGTTTTCTCTATCGATATTCAACAGATGCGACAACTTGTCCCTAAATAACTCCGCCTTACTCCGCGATAAAGTCTGCGACTGAAAACGGGCAAGGCATTAAACCGTATCGTCTGTTGACCGATCGAAAGAAACTGTTATTAATCAATTAAATAAATTACTTACCTTGTAATCCCACACGCGGATGAAATCCTCATCAGTTATACCGGATATTCGTACCGAACCGGAATTCAATACAGCTTCGTGAGGGATTGTTTTCACGGTGACAGTCACGTTCGCTGGCACGTCTGTTTGTGTGTGCTTCCGATCGTACACTTTGAAGCGCAGATGATACCTGCCGTCGTGTGTACCCGATTTCATATAAATCATGCCGGTATCCTCGTCTAATCGAAACTGAGCGTGCTCCAAAGCTTCCCAATAAAATTTCTTATCTGGCAGGTCCCAATCGTCCAAGTCATAAACGTAAACTCTGCCTATTTCCGTATCCGGCGATTGTCCCTGATTTAAGACAAATAGAATTATGTTTAATCGTTCATCGAATGTAGAAATAAAATGTAAGTCCTAAGATTTTATTTTGAAAAATGAATTAAATAGAGAGTAGTAATACGTACCGCGTAATTATATACGAAAATATCTTTCGATCCGGGCTGCATCTTGTTATCGTTAATGTCGCCGATTATAACGGTGAGGGTGCTGGTACCAGTCATCGACGGGGTGCCGGCGTCTTTGATAACGATCGGTATCAAGTATTCCTTTTGTTGCTCCCTATTAAACGACAGTAAAGACGAGACAATGGCCATACCGTCTCCGTTCGCCCCCTCTGCAGCAGAACAAAAAGGCGACGTTTGTTAGCGACAAATAGCGAACTGCGGCTAACAACGCTCCCATCCCATGGGAGTACGTATAATGGGTTGCCCGGAGACTTACTGCTATCGCTTTCAACTTTGAAACTGGCACGGATCACATCGTCCGCCTTCGGGTCCATTCTGAACGTGAACGGTGGCCCGTTGGTCTTCGATCGATCGTCGTCGTCCGTCGCTAGGATCTCGACCACCTTCTTCTGTTGCGAGTGCTCCTGCAGTACGGGCCGGTAATCCTTCAAGAATCGTGGCGGATTGTCGTTTATGTCCTGCACGATCACCGTCAGCGTAGCTGTCGCGGTTTTCGGTGGGATGCCGTCATCGATGGCCAAGATTTTCACCTACAAACAGATTTTTAGCATCAAATGTATATACGCATTAAAGAAACAACTAAAAATAATAAGAATGTGGAACCAATGGCAATGATTGAAAATGATTTACCTGGTGCCTCGGAGTTTCTTCTCGGTCGAGGCTTCTTTGAATCGACACAGTGCCAGTCTCGTTAATCGAGAATTGCCTTTTACGATCGGAGGTTCGGTCTATCGAGTAGTACACTTTGCTCTTGCCGCCCTGGTCAGGATCGGTGGCGGAGAACGTCTCCAGGCTGCTACCGACTTCCGCATTCTCCGCTACGGTAGTCTCGATATTCGGTTTATCGAACTGAGGTTGATTATCATTTATGTCGCGCAGTTTCACGACTACCCAAGAATAAGCTACGTGATATTTATCGTTGTCGTTATCTTCACCCTGAAAATTAATAAGAACGGTCAGTCGGATGTTCTCATTACAGAGAACAGAGAAAAAACGGATTGAAAATGTTAAATTAAAATCATATTAATTTAAATGGAATAAATAATGGAATACCTTGTCGTTCACTTGTATCCTAAACCTAAACCCGTTGCTCTGCAATTGGTCCTCGTAGTCCAACGACTGCACGATTTTCAGAGATCCCGTACCGTCGTTATTCCTCACCATAGTGAACTTGTCGGCGCCATATCCGCTATTTTCGATCACCTGTAATTACAGTTCGATATTGTTTACGAAATACGCGAATTGTTTTCAATAGATTTGACGGGAAATACCTTATATTGGAATTTATTGGTCTCGTCTTCGTCATGTACAGTGACGGTAAGAATCGGCATCTCCGGTAAGTCTGGACTTTCTGTTTCGTCGACTTCGGTGAACCATTCATCCTTCGTGAATTGGGGAGGCATGTCGTTTATATCTTTCACTCGTATAGAAGCCGTTCCCGTCCCTGAGTATTAAGAAAATAAACGATAAGCAAATAACGATGATAAAAATTTTCATTTGCTTCATTATTTGTATCATTCACTTACCCTTTAACCCCCCGCCATCCATCGCTACCACTTGTATAGAATAATCTGGTGTGCGTTCTCTGTCCAAACAACACACTGCCGTCTTTATCACACCGGTATCCGCTTCGATCTCGAAGATCGGCGAACCGGTTTCCTCCTCAATCACATTCTTCTCAATGGAATAAACCAGTTTAGCGTTTGTGCCTTCGCTGGGGTCGTCGTAGTCGACGGCCGTCATAGTCATTACAACCATTCCTGAGAGAGACATAGATTTCCATTGAATAAAACGTAATACTGATTAAATGTCATCCTCATCGAATTCGACGAATTATCAAGTGAAGTACTAATGCAACGTTACCTGCCGTTCCATTTTCTGTGACGTTCCCGTAGTAAACTCCTTGAGGGAATATCGGCGGGTTGTCGTTGATGTCCTTCAGGTTCACCTGCACGTCAGCGTAGCCGACGAGACCGTCGCCGCCTTCATCTTGAGCGAACACAGTGAATCGCCACTGCGGCCTCCCGTTCGGCTGATCCCTATCCAGCGGCTGTGAAGAAATACCGGGATTACAGCATTAAGTGACTTAGGATGCGAGACAAATTTAATAAAGCAAGGAACCACGACTCCGTACATTTCCTCCTTTACGGCTGAAACGCGTTTTCTAGCCGTGGATTAAGAGTTACAACGGCGGTAGTGTAGTACTATCTCATCCCGTCAGTTTTAAATGTTCAGCGAAACTGGTTCAACATTTCTTAATTAAAGGATTTGTAAGATTAATGAAATTTTTAATGAAAACGGAATAACGGAAGATCTCGATGCAAGGATGAATAAAGATGTTTCAAGCGAGAGCCTGATACCAGCATTAATCAAGAGAAATTGATCCAGAAATTCTTAGAACACACGAAAATTTAAATTGCTGACGGCAAGAAACTGATTGAAAAAGTTGGCGAACGGGGCGAACCTTCAGAACGTAGATTTCTCCACTGGTGCGGTTGATATCGAATTTGCTGTTCGCTGGATTGTCGGGATCGATACCTTGGCCAGTTAAAAAGTAGACGATATCCTGTTTCCTATCCTTGTCACCATCGGTCGCTGTCACCTGAAATTTGCAAAGTCAATGAATTAATTGGACACCAACGGAATCGATTGTATCGGCTCTGGATTAAAACAGAAGCAATAGCTACCCCAAGTACGCGTTTCGGCAATGTCCTGTCATCTTCCTCAGTGATTTGCGTCCTGTAATTTGGTCGCTCAAAGACAGGCGGGTTGTCGTTTACGTCCTTTACGTGTATCACGACAGTAGTGTGATTCTCTTTCAAGTTATCAGACGCGGTTAAACGTAGCTCGTACTGAAAGATCACACGTGAATAATAGCAGCTGCAGATTGTTTCAATTGCAACACTGACAGCGGCAAAGTTTTTCTGAACAATACGAACGCCTTTCGGCTAAAAGATACAATAGCTCCGGAAAGAATAGAATTTGCAAATAAAATTGAAAATCTCTCAGGCGAAGTGAAAGTTCGGAATCACTGGAGACAGTTTTTTCTCTTAATGAGAGTTGTAAAAATTGCGGGCTGAATATAATTGGACATAAAAGACAGAGTATAGGATCTCTGAAAGTGAAGCTTACGAGGATAACGAACCAGTCGTTTTAATGAACGAAATTTAAAAATAAAATGCGTCCCTTTTTAAACCGGAACGATTTATCCGATTTTATAAAGAAACACGTCGCGATGATAAAGTATGAAACTGGAATTGGGACACGAGCAATTGATTCGTGCGTGTAGCTAACAACAGAACCGAAGTGACGTGATTTCACGAAGGAATTTATGAAAAGCCCGATTCGAGCGACACGTTGTCCACGCTGGGACGCGTTAAAACGGAAGACACATTGAAACGATGACAAACGAGTGGATGGCGTGAAAACGCGCAATAACCACGAAAACCTTTCGCTACCATTTCACGGTTTTTATTGGGTCGCAAGTAATAAAACGTGGCACCGTGAACGCGGTTAAAAGGATTAACCGTGGACGCGTATGCGCTCCCCGTCGCCTCTCTCTTCATCCACTTCCCTCCGGCGACCTTCTTTTCAAACCGCTGTCAGTGTTTATCCGAGTAATATCCATCGTGTACTAACCCTTTTCCTTGTCTCGTAATCTAATGCACCTGCGACGTAAATGGCGCCAGTCATATTCTTCACGGCGAATGCACCGCCTATGTTACCGCTTGTGATCTCGTATCGAATACGCGAGGCTGGAAAATGGAGAAGATCCGTTCAGATGTAACTCCGAAAGGAAACTCCGTTCCGCAGTTCGATAAGGAATATTTGAAACCTTTTCATCCTTGTTTAGCGATTAGAAACAGGGAACCGACTTTGATAATTTAAAACAAAGTTCGATAACACTAAGTATTTTTGCAGGAAACCGTTAGTTTACTACAAACAATTAAGGTTGTATGAGCCATAAGATCTCTGCTAAAAGTTTAAGTCATGTAATAAAAAGCTATGTCCAATTATTTGAAGCAATGAACTTTTAGAAAGAATGATAATTACAGAGGCGTAAAGTTTATAAAATTGTTTGCTTGTACAAAGTTTAGAAAATCCTCTCATTGTTGAATTCATGTTTTTTTGTAAATAAAATAAAAATTCTGTAATTCGACATAAGAATTCAAGATGTAACGATTTTTAATAGGCTCGCAAAATTTTGTACAATGTTTTATCAATATAATATCTAATAACTATTAAAATTTCAATGCTTTGTGATTGTTTTTATGTAAGGTTTCATACATCCTTAAACGCTTTCTTTTTATTGCAACCAACTTGCGATATTTTTATATTCTAACCGGGAGATTCATTAAACAACGCTATAAATTTCCTCGGTGAAAATTTCCCGGGAGACGAGGCGCGTTCGATCAAAAGAAACTACATAAATAGTTCTCTCTTCGGTTTCTTTCCCTCGCGAAAAAGTAACGACGGATAGCAATCCTTAGGCAAATATCATTACAACTTAATAAGGCCGTGAGCAAAAGGTTCATAAATATGTTTCGCTCTCGTCACTCACCATCTGGTATTTGAACTTTGGTAAGCAGTTTATGTGTCTTCGAGAGCCGTGAAGAGGCAGATGGTTTTCCGCGGAACTTGTTAGCGGGGTTAAGGATACCGAACTTCGTGGTGAAGTATAAAATCATTACCAGGAATAAGGACAAGACATATGATTCGAAGTTCGGCTTCAGAACTAACAGAAGTTACACCCTTAACGGGGTTCATATTATTTTCTCGCACCCTTCACGAGGCTATAACTTCGTTTACGGGCGTATTTACTCCGGACTGATCTCCGCTACAACTTTAACGAGATTTATCTGCGCCGGTAATTGCAGAAGACTTATTTACTTACACTCGTCATGATCTTTGGCGGTGACAGTGAGGACCGTATGCTGGATATCCTCATTTTCATCTACCTCAGCCTCGTAGAGGCCTTTGTCAAAGTAAGGCGGATTGTCGTTCTTGTCAGCTATTCCAATACGGATGAATTTCGTCACTGCAACAGACAAAAGATTCGAGGCGTCATAAAACTCCACTCGCAGCTTTATGAAAAGTCCGATGAATACACGTAGGTCTCAGACGAAGCCTGTGTAAGGCTTGAATATTTTCCGATACGTGCATGTCGCTCGCAAAATGCAAATTCGACCCGCCATCAAACTAAATCTTTTGAACATTTATTTATAAGACTGATTCATATCGTCGGATAAGAAGTCTAGATAGCAGAGTGTATCACGCCGTGGGGTAAGTTAATTCCCAGTCGGTGGAAAGAATCGCGAAACAGGACAATGTTTACAGCTTGAAAATTCACAAGTAATTTCCATGTATATTGCACGGCAACGGTTGCCTTTTGGCAGACCGAGTTCCTCCACTTCTCTGCCTGTTGTTGCGTTTGAATTACAAATAAAAACGAGAACCGACTTAATATTCATGTTAGAGAGCGCAGTTACCACTTGGAACCAGCGGTTTTTAAAAGAACAAGAATAAAGGTTGCGACTTTCTGCCGTACTATGTAATTCTCGCGCGCATTTACATTTATACTTTCCCTTAATTATTTTCTACACCGAAAATAGTCCCAGCATATGAATGTTGATTTCGTTCTTAGTTTTGAAATAAACGAGGGTAACTATTTTAACGAGGAGAACATGAAAATCTACTGCTTGTTGATTTTAATTAGTGCAAGAATATACAGCGAGGCGATGCCGGCTCATTTCCGGAAGTTAATATCTCACGGTTAATTTATGCGGCTAATTTAATGGAAGATTCATGTTCCGTAATTTATTAACTTGATGCCCGGAAATTTGAGAAATTGGGTATCGATCATTCACATAAAATGATTAAAGGAAGTCAAAAGGCTATTAGAACTGAGCTATCATAAAATTGCCGGACGCCCTGTATACGGCGAGAAATTTTCCAAAAGTGTCAAAAGCTACTTTATGATGGAGACCGCAATTTTTGTGATTGTCGATGAAAATTCGAGCACGCATTTCTAGAGAACTCGTAGCTGGTTGCCGTGTAATCAACGGAAATGACACGATGTATCTGACATATTATTGAATTATGAAGACTAATAAGCGAATTATTAAGACGAATTACTGCGTCGATTTGCCAGGATGCAACGCTATTGCTGTTGGCAATTTGCCTCGCCGTATCTTGCGGGATTTCAGCTCGCCTTGATTCGCGTTGCTCGACAAATACCCAACTGATTAAGTTAATTTCCAGTCTTCACGATCGCTGACTCTAAGTATTACACGTGAATATTTCGTACAAAAATTATGATTCAAGGATGAATGAGTTAATATAATTGGATGTGGGTTAATGTTAAAAGCATCAATTTATTGAAAAAGTATAATAAATGAATAAGGATCACAGTATCTAAATATGAATAAAATTGTGTGGCATTCTTCAACTTCTCTTCTAAAACTTATTATTTTTTAACACCGTTTTGCTTTTGCTCTTATGTCAAATGATCCGTATAGAGTGACAGAGGAATTTTGAAATATTGGAAGATCGATTTAAGAGAAATCGAGGGTTGGAATCACGGAGCGTGAAGAGCCACTTGTGCGAGAAGACGAAATAGGTTGGAATTTCTTTGAGAAATTCTCATTTCAAGTTGGAATTTAATGCACCTCGTACATCTTGCCTTAGAATATTAAATAAATTTCTTACTTTCTGATACTGTTATTAAGAGGTGAAGACGACTGATACATCATTTTAGAAGAATTCTGTTTCATAAATTGTTGTTACGAAAATTGTTGTATAATTTTATTATACCTCACCATGAATACGTTTAAAAACTAGCAATTAGTTTCTATTAATTTATGCTTAAATAGTAGTTTTAAGTATTAAACGTAAATATATGGCATATTCATGGGGAGGATTTGTCCCAGAAACAATCGCGGTGGTCGTCGTATCAACGAGGCGCAAAGCCGTTAATTCCACGAATTTTGCACAGCTCTCGTGTGACGAATGCTGTCGAAGAGCAACGAGATTGCATTGAAACAGGCCGAACAATGTGGATATGTCTGTCCCTGCATTTCATCACTATTCTCGATAACTATGCTCCCTAAAGCCTTAATTCCACCCAATCACGATTGTTTTCAAACAAATCATTAAATATTTGAAGCATATGGCCATTTTTACATTTGATTGTTCTTCCACACCTGGAAGAGACTTGACTTTGTTGTTTACAGTCGCAGATTTTTGTACATTTAATATTGAGATATTTATTAACAAATTGTATAAAGTACATAGCAATATTCTCAGTATTGCGTTATTGCTAATTTAAATAAAAGAACAATGTTAATTTAATTAGTATTGTAAATAAAGAATGCTTCGACTTGTCGAATATTTGTTTAAAAATATCAACACAGCGTCAACAATGTTGCATTTATATAAATATTCTTATGTTTACATTGAAAAACCGTTGTGTTCTCTATCTGTATCGATTTGAATAAAAATACGCCATGACGAACGAACTGCATTCGTCAAACGCGACCTTCCATTTTTCCCCTCGATTTCGAAAATAAAAAGAATAATCACGTCGAGGCAGGCAAAAATAACAAGACAGGCGAAACAAAAACCGTGTGAGATAACGAGAAACGCGTTTTCGCCCCGAGGATGCCATACATTATTGAAAAAAATCTATGAAACACTGGATTGCCGAATGGTTTTTTTGTTCTCCCACTTTCGAATGTTATCCATCCTTTCCTCCCATCCTTTCATCAAATTAATTTCCGCCCGTAGGACCGAAGGAACACCAGCGTTGAAAAAACAGAGGAACAAGATAACGTTTACACAGGGGATAGGAGGGTGCAGGTGGAAGAGGAGAGCGAGTTGGGCCGAGGAATTAATTATGCTGCTAGGCCCTTCCGCAGCGATTACTCTTTCCAGCGGCGGAGGATAAAACCAAGCCCGCCGAGTCCGCCGCAACAATTCGACGGTTTTCTTCCGTCGATTGATTCGCGACCCAGTTTCGCTCGAGCGTAATTCTTAATGCGCGGCTTTCGACGATTTATTGCTAACCAGAGCCGAAGGGGATGTCAGAGACGAGCATTGAAAGCGTGGAGAGAGAGAGAGAGAGAAAGAGAGAGGCCAAGAGACACGGATGCTTGTACGCGTGCAATATCCGGATTTGTCGCTCGAATTCGATAGCGTTCCGCGTGAATAGAAGATGGCTGCTGTTATCGGAACGTGTTCACATATTCATGAAAGCGTGCATGAAAATTTGTGAAGCTCTTTGAAGTCGCGGGACAAAACCGGTAATTTATTGCAGCGGCTTTCATCCGAGATTAAATATTCGAAGTTGCGTAAAGTCGGTGAATTAAGAAATGGAGGGAGGCCGAGCATTGAGTCGCAGCCTCGCATTCCATTTTTCTTCGACATCGATTAGTTATTCGTCGGATAATAAATGTGGTTTTAATGGCCCCTAGGCACTCGAATCAAGGCTTGACACTTGACAAGTGTTCGATCGGTTTTTTTCCTTTGGAATAAGAGTTTCGTTTCTACCAGAATTTACTTCTTTCTCCTTTTAGGAAATTTTAATTAATCGTATAACAGCATTACACAGTAGACTTGCATTCGTATAAGATGCACTTTATACTGACATAAGTTCGTTCATCATTCGACTCCACCTTTATGTGCTCTATTTAATCTTGGTTTGGTATCGTGAAATGTTTTGTTTGACTTTCCATCTGCAGTTTGAGGGAACTTGGACGTAGTTGGTTTCGGGTTTAGTATCTACTTAGTTAGACTCTTTTTTTACTGCACACATTTCAGTTACTCGTAAGTTTCGCCGGAGTATCTGCTTAATGTTGTGGAAAAAGAAACCGTGTGTGCTGCTACATGAAATTCTGTAATCCGAGACCGAACTGCAAACGAGAAAACTCGAAAGAGGCAACCAAGTAAGTAGCAATCTTCGGGAAAATACCTGTGCAATATATTTTAAATCCATCTCTCCTTGGTTTCCTAAATACGTTCTCAGATGAAACTTAAACCAATTATAAAAATTGTAACAAGAATTCATCCAATTCTTTTGAACAATTTTCATGTTTAGATAGAATGTTTTTAATCCATGGGATATTAAGGTAGCGTGTAGCCAAATTACGTATTCAAATTTATCCAATGACTGCGGTAATAGTTAACACTTACTTGGAATAATTAAACGTCAAAGAGCGTATAATGACCAACTACCTTGTATATACATGGAATATTACAGCAACACCGGTGGCCCGGATTATTTTAATCACACTATGAAACTACCGCGGTAATAAGTAACACTTAAACGCCTAGTGGTTAAAAGTTAAAAGAGCGCAACATTCCGCGTACCGCGATATAAACTGCTCCGCCACAAATTAAATTATTGCAATATTTTCAAAGTTTTATTCCAGCGTTTTAATCAAATTACGCTAAACCAGGAAATTCCGCTTGTTTATATAAAAAAAAAGTAAGACATTAAAGTATTTTTTAAGATAAAACATAAAATTATAATAAAGAAATAATTAATAACATTCGATATCGTACATTATAAAATATTTTATAAACAAACATAAATATTATAAGAGAATGAATAAGTAAAAGCGACCAACGCTAGTACTTGGAGTCTTTAATTGAAATTAAAAATTTCTCATAATCAGAACGACTTGATGAAAATTATTATTGCTGAAGTCTTTTCCTCTTTCAATCGTGAATTGCGATATCCAGTAAATATGCCGCGGCCGACGCAAAATAAATTCACCACTCATGCCGTGCAAGTAATTTGAAATTTACGGGGGGCTGCGGGGGGCGGAGGACGCGTTAACTTTTAACGGCACGGCAATCCATATGGCGGATGGCTAAACGGTTGACGCGTAACGCGACTATCTATCCGCGGCAGCGGATATTTAAAAAGACTTACGACCTCTCATAAAATATACAGCTCATACCGTTGGTTCATTAATGACCGAACGCGTACCGCTCGTCATTTAAAGGAAGACGTGTCCCTGATGACAGAAATAAA